GTTTATCATAAATAAAATAATTTTTTTTTACTAATTTACTAATTTTATATTCTATACTTATTTATTAAAATTGTCATGATTAATTCAATTTTTATTTTTAATTATATTTAACAATCTTTTCGAATAAATTCAATATTGAACATAAAAATCAAAGAATAAAGATAAATTAAAGACATTATATGTCAAATGTGATTTAAGTAAATAATTATTAATTTGACAAGTTTATGATATACTATCGATAATATTATCTACTTACTTTATTTTTAAATTAATAGTTAATATTATTTACTTTACATATAAAATGATATTTAATCATTAGTATTTTAAATTCTATTCTTTAAAGTATGGTAATCATTAGTTTTTGTAAAACATAGATTAATAATTGGAAAGTTTTGTTTATATAAATAATAACTTTTTTTTTCTAAATTTTAATGTGTTTTATACCCATTAATATTTTTTCCCGTTTTATAAATTATTAAATTATTGTTAATGTTTTTATAAAAAATAAAATCAATATAAAATAGAATTATGTCTACATATTTACCTTTTATACTTTGATATTTATATGAAAATTTAATAAATTTTATTACAACTTTTCTTACGAAAATTACTTGCCAAATTTTATAATAAATAAAACCGAATAAATCAATTAAATAATAATTATTAAAGACAAAATAACATTTTTAGTCTCTTAACTTTTGCTCGGGGTACATGTTGGTCCTTTATCTTTAAAAAGTATCAAGTTGGTCCTTTAACATTTAAATTGGTGTCACGTTTGTCCAGGTGGAGTTGCTGACGTGGATATGAAGTGTCTTAGAGGAAGAAAAACTCAGACAAACTTGGAGAAGTGTAACCATTACCCACCATTACCCAGAAGAAGAAGACACGACAAGCTTGGAGAAGTGTAACCATTACCCACTATTACCCAGAAGAAGAAGACACGACAAGCTTGGAGAAGTGTAACCATTACCCACTATTACCCAGACGATTCAAGGTTTGCAGACGCGAAGGATTGAGGATTTTCTGATTTAGGGTTTTCTGATTGAGGATTGAAGACGATTCAAGAGACATAATCAAAAGGTTAGTTCATTTCTCTCTGATTTAGGGTTTTCTCGTAGAGGTTCAGATTTAGGGTTTATGTAAATTTGTTAGTGTAAACGTTAATTACTTACATGATATGATTAGGTATCATGGATGAATACATAACTCTCAAAATTCATCATAGTGGTGAGTTCACAGATGAAGATCGTAGTGTATATGAGAATGAAGTAGTAGATGATTTGAGGGTAGATGTAGATAGATGGAGTTATTTTGAGCTAGTTGGTGTATTGAAAGACTTGGGTTATAGGGAGTTTGAATCAATATTTTACAAGGACCCTCAATTTGGGATGAATCCACTTGTAAGGACACAACAACTCAACAATCTAGCCAACAATCAGCCCAACTCAATCATACTCCAACTCAGACTCCAAATCAGAAAATCTAAATTGTGGAACATGTGTATTTAGTTACCTGGAGCAAGTTTATGTATTCTACTGCTACTTAATCATACTCCAACTCAGACTCCAAATCAGAAACTCTAAATTGTGGAACATGTGTATTTAGTTACCTAGAGCAAGTTTATGTATTCTACTGCTGCCGTTTTGAAACAAGTTTATTTATTCTACTGCTGTTGTTTTGGAACAAGTATATTTTGTGTATTCTGCTGTTGTTTTGGAACAAGTATATTTTATGGAAAGTATTACAAGGTTATGTATTTGGCTGCTGTTGTTGTTTATAGGTACTATGAAATGAACCTAAAAACAGAACCAACTTATATGTATCTTGCTGCTGTTGTTGTAAACATAAAAAACATAACATACCAAGTTAACATTATCTTTAACTGTTATATTCATATGGAACTAATACAATGCAAAACTAAAACTGATTCATTCATGTTGAACTGTAAAAACTGAAATTAACTAAACTGATAGAATCCATATATTAAAATCCAACTATTACATTCATGTTGAAGTGATACAATCCAAAACTGATACAAACTTCAACTAAACATAAAAACATAATTCTTACAGGCAAAACTTAACTTAATTCTTACAAACAAACCATAACATAATACTTCCAAACAAACCTTAATACCTTAACTACCCCTAACAACTAATACAATGATAATCATCACAAACATCAAATTCAAAATCTTTGTTTCCACTTCATGATATTCTTCATTTCACTTTCAAGTTTCATCAGCTTTTTTCATAATTCTTCATTCTCCATTGTCGCTTTTTCAATGTCCTTTTTTCTTCAGCAAGTCCATTAGTTACCACACCCAGCCTATGCATCCAAAATTGCTCCTTCTCATCACACATCTCCTCATAAAACCAATCAAAGAAGGCACAACCAGCTTGCATACCTCCCTGTAAATTTCATTGTTTAGAGGATGATGGATAATAAATTTAAAATTAAACAAAAATATAACTTATAATTTGGACAGAAACATAAACAGAAACATAACTTAATCAAAAACAGAACTTCAACAGAGAACAAAACCAGCTTGCATACCTTATAATTTGGACAACCCCAATAAAATTTTCCCATATTCTTAACAGTAGTTTCCCTTTGAAGAACAACCATATCTCCAAAATGGCACATGGGCTTCCATCGTGACCGACTACAAACATCCGAATCCCGACTTTTTGATTTTGAAATGGAGGAGGAACATCCGGATTTCATGCTTGCCAAATAAAAAAAACCCTAGATTAAGTTTGGGATTTGGGATTGAGATTTGGGATTCAGATTATTTTTTAGGGATTTGAACGGAAGGAGGAAGGAGAAGGAGGCAACACCATAAACAAAATTAGGGATTTCATGCTTGCCAGGTCATCGGCCAGGTATGCAAAATAAACGGACGTTTGGGGGCAACTGACGGTGCGGACTAAAATGACACCATTTTAAAAGTTAAAGAATCAACTTGCCACTTTTTAAAGATAAAAGGACCAACATGGACTCCGAGTTAAAGTTAAGGGACGAAAAAGAGTATTTTGCCATTATTAAATCATACTAAATATGACAGACATGAAAAATCTTAATAAAATCAATAATCAATTATCATTTTTAATTTAAAAAAGGAAAATAAAAATTCACCATATATGTGGCAATTGTTATGAACATATTTATACAACTACTTGCTCATGTACTCCACCAAATTCAAAAGTTACACCTCTCTAATATTAAATACATCAGCATTCGTGATTTTGACGAACATACCAAATAGCAATGTTGTTTAAAGAATACTTAAAAAAAATAGGATACTCAAAAAAACAAAACAACTTCCTATTCCCCTAAGTCCCACTTATTATGATTTCCCATTTCAATATAACCTATATTTAAAAAAAAAGTTAATGAAATAAAATTTATTAAATAAATAAACAAATATTAATAAATTAAATTGGATATGCATGGAAAATCTTAATAAAATGGTTCATAAATAATCAATAATTATTATCAATTTAAAAATACCTAAAGAATAAGACATAAAAATATTTTCTTAAATTATAATCCTACAACTTCTCTAAATAAAATTTTGCATCAAAATTTATAATAAATAAAACCAATAAATAAATTTAATAATAATAATTAATTAAATAAATAGGACATACATGAAAAGTTTTAATAAAATGATTCATAAATAATTAATAAAATAGTTTATCAATAATTTTTCCCAAAAAAAGCTTTATCAATAATAAATAATTATTTTTGATTTAAAAAAATAACCTAAAAAATAGGACACTCAAACACAGTTTTACATTCCACTAACTCTCAATTATTACAATTACTATTCATATTTTTTAAAAATTAATTAAATAACAATTATTAATAGGTAAATTATAATAAAATAAATAAGATATGCATGAAAAACCTTAATCAAATGGTTCATCAATTACCAATAGTTACTATCAAGTTAAAAAAAAACCTAAAAGTTATTTAAAAAATTTTAAAAATGATTTAAAATATAATATATATTATTAAATTTAATCTATTATAGACATCTAGTTATTATTATTATCATCGTTATTATCATTATGTTTATTATTATTATTCGTTAGATTACTAATAATATTATTATTTTGATCGATTATTATTATTAATATATATATATAAATATATATATATATATATATATATATATATATATATATATATATTTATTTATTTATTTAGTAAATCATGAAATAAATAAAACAGAAAAAAAATAAAAAAAATCACTTCTTCACACGAGCTCACACAGACCTATTTTATAATGCACTAGCTCGTTATTTAGTAGGTAAACTCACACAGACTTATTTTTTAATGCACATTCTCGCCCATTCAGTGAACGAGCTTCTACTAAAACTGGAGTATACTCATAAATAAATTTTAGAATAGGATATTATAGAATTTTTAATTTTAAAATAGGGTAGAATAGTAAAAAATTCAAAGGAGTAATATCATTTTTGTTCATTGAACTAAGATTTGCGGTCATTAAATAAAATATTTTATTAAATAAAAGTGGTATAATATTTCCAATTATAAACTATATTATTTTATTTATCAGGATTATAAGAAAATCAATGTTGGGGCCCATGTCCCGACAATTGGACACAACCAAACCACAACAAGAACTATTTCTAATTTTACAAGCAAAACAAAATGGAAATCATTGCCAATTTGCCATTTCTCATTTTGTTACAAAATTTAGCTTCACCTTTATTATTATTTTTCTAAAAAAGCAAAAAGTTGTCTCAAAATGAAAATCTACTGAGATACGATAATACTTAAAAAAAAAGAAAAAAGTTAGTTAGGAGTATTAATTAATATAATGCATTAAATATATTTCTAACCAAATGTAACAAAAAAAAACTATCAGAAGAAAGAAGAAAAGGGAGGAGAAAGAGGTTGATGGTGGTAGCTGGTGGCGGAGAAACAGAAACGGAAGAACCCTAATCTGTCTCTGTTCAGAAACAAAAATGAGCGGTCAATTAACCAGGAGGCACAGTGGGACCCACAAAAAGGCTCCTTCCATGTCCAAAAAGATCGAGAACGGAACCGCCAGCGAACCTTCCAGCATACCTTCTTCTCCTCCTCCTCTCGAGTAATCTCTTTCTCCTCATTTCAATCTTCTTCAATTTATTATCATCGTTATTACCAGATTTAGTTTTAATTTTATTGTATATATTATTTTTGTTAATTTTTGTTTTTGAGCTTTTGAATTTTGATGAATTGTTTGTTGATTAAATCATAGTTAATTGTTTTTGGTATAATCGTGGTTGTTAATGAAATGATTTAGATCTGACGGAGGAGAAAGGACGGTTAAGAAGCTTAGGTTATCCAAAGCCCTAACTATATCTGAGGGGACATCAGTTTCAGATGCGTGTCGGCGAATGGCAGCGCGGCGCGTTGATGCTGTTTTGTTGACTGATTCGAATGCTTTGTTATCGGGGATCATGACTGACAAGGTTTGTGAATTTTCTGTGTGAATTGTGTGTTTATTGAGTGAGTGAAGTGCATAGCATAGTATGAGATTTAATTTTAATGTGTAATGCAAGGATGCGTGTCTTGTGTTTAGGATATTGCTACTAGAGTTATTGCCGAGGGTTTGCGACCGGACCAGACAATGGTGTCAAAAGTAATGACTCGGAATCCGCTATTTGTGACATCAGATACACGGGCCATTGAAGCCCTTCAAAAGATGGTCCAAGGTTAGCTTCATTAATTAGTTAATATCAGTGTTATTATTGGATTTTAGGCGTGTAAGTCAAACTAGGATGTCATATATTCATGCTGTTGTCACGAGTTTTAGTTATTGCCGTGCTTGCTATCATAACTGTTTTTTTTTGCCAATCCCAATTAAATTATTACACTTTGTGAAGCATTTTTATTATGACTTGTTGACTTTCTTATATGTAATATTGTAATAAGAGATCTGATTATAATGCAATGAGGATTCATTAAATGTATGTGTGTTAGGAGGTTCATGCTTCATTATCATCATGAAATTTCTGATGTTGAATACTCATGCCCATTTATCACTCACAATCATATTTGGATATCATGGTTTCCTCACAGTCTCCGACTAGCAATAGAATTATTAGTAATGTTGCACTGCTAATAGTTTGGTAATTTAGATGGCTGTAAAAGGTATGCAGAGGGTGAAAAGAGCTCCATGTGTAGATTTCGTTTCTGGGCTTACCTTCTTTAATAATTAATAGTATAGTAGACCTTATGAAGGAGAGTCATTACAACGAGGGCATATTTCTTTTTACTGTGATTTCTTGTAGGAGCCATGTCTAATCTATTCCAAGTTGTTTTTATCTTGAAAAAACTATTATAATAGCATAATATAGGAAAATGTTGTAATCATTTGGTATATCATAGTAAATTTTTTTGTTTTCAATGAAGTTTATCAGGGAAGCCTGTTGTCACTTGTTTTATTGAACCATTGGTGACTTGAGCTTGATCCAGTGATCACTTCTTCATTTTCTTTCAGTGGCCTATCTCCGGGGCTTAGAATAGGTTGGGTGGTAATTGATAATGTTATCCCCTTGAACTATTAACAATTCACCGTGTTCAATAGTTGGAACTAAAAGCAACTAGTTCATTCTCTTATTGTCTAGTCTTCATTCTTTGTTTCACGAGACTTTATGAGATGTGCTATCTCGGGAAAAAATATTTTCATTTTTAGCTATTTAAATTGCTTCATTGTCTCTTTTAAATTCAGTGTTTTTGTCCTAAGAACAAAAAAATGGCATCTGAATCTGATCTGCAATAAAATCTGTACCTTTCTGGTATTTACAGCTATAGGTTGTATATTCATTTTACAATCTGTGCCTTAATATGTTTTTTCTTTGTCGCAGTATTCCTTTCCCAACCTTCGCTCATTTATTACTGTCTGTTTCTTTGATTAATGGTGCCTGATCCTGCAAGAATTCGGCAGCGTTTCTACTAGATTCAGTGTTTATATCTTTGTATAGATGTAGCCTATAGGTCTGTTTGGCAAGCACTATAAGCTAGCATATAAGCTCATATAATTAAAATAGACCCATTTGGCAACCATCATTTATTCACGAGCTTATTATTTATTTTTATTAGCTTACAGGATCTGTTTGATTGGCAAAAAGACAATTCCTGGACATAATAGTACATGGCAAGCCTTTAAGTTAATGGACAACTTTTTATCTTGTACGACATATGATGAAACAATGAACAACATAAATAAAGTAATGTATTTTTTTACTATAGTACCCTTTTTACTATATATATATAACTTCAATGAATGTAAAAATATTAATAAAGGAGAGAAATGAGAATAGAAGGATAGAGAGAGATAGGGAGAGAGAAAGAGAAGTGAGAGGGGGGAAAAGAGGAGAGAATTAATTAAACATATCTTTTTTTCGTCATTTTATATATATAAGCTAGTCCAACTGATAATTTTACCAAACACTACAAATTCAATTAACTAGCTTATCCGTTATTAGCTATTCGTTATAAAATTCATCCGCCATCAGCTATCCGTTATAGACTCATCCTCTATAAGCTAACTTATCAGCTACTCACTATTTTTTTACCAAGTAGAGCCTAAAGTAATTCTTGAAATGAGGTATAATTTTATTATTTCTTTTTAAACTGCTAGGTAAATTCAGGCACCTGCCTGTTGTGGAAAATGGGGAAGTCATTGCCATACTGGATATTACCAAATGTCTTTATGACGCCATATCTAGGATGGAGAAGGCTGCTGAGCAGGGGAGCGCCATTGCTGCTGCAGTTGAAGGTGCGGAACGCCAGCGGAGTAGCAATGCATCTGGTTAGTTATTAAAAGTATTCTCATACACTTCTTACAGTATTCAACTACCAACTGTATTTGAATTTATAAGTTGCATCCACATACGGACATGTGTTTTTAATGTTTATTATATAGTAGATATCACTGTTGAGTTCTGAAGCATATACAGTATACTTTTCAATTTATGAAACTTATGTATACTCTTAAGTTGATTTGACTGTTTCTACAATAAAATTCAAGCTTTATTTATCTTGCTACTGAAATTAGAAACAAGGAAGCTGGTAGTTAATAGAATAAGATAGGTAGAAGAAAATTTCAACTGTGCACTTTTTTTCTCCTTCAGTATACATTTTTTTAATAAAAAAATGTTTGAGGAGTGGATACCATGTCAATCCTCTACTAACTTAAGTAATAACACGTGGTTAGTTATTCCCTAAATTTGGTGTTATTTTTTATCGACATTCCTCAATCTTGATTTGTGATTCTCTTAAAAACTTAACATTCTTGCTTTGACGACTTGAAGTTTTTATCTAATGGACTGGAAAGGTTTTATCTGTGAATAGTAAACTGAATAGATAGATGTTTTAAAGTTGTGGGATTTAAGGTAAAAGATGAGAGAAAAATATTATTGATAATCGATAATAGCTTAACATTTTTTTATACAAAAGATTCAATACTAAACCCTATACCCTATTTATATTGATACATAGGCTCAATCCTATACCAAAAATAAGTCATGATAATAGTAACTAGTATAAAATCTGATACTAATAGATACTCTAAAGTAATATAAGATATATAACATTTTATAATATGGTATCACTCCCCCTCAGGCTGAAGCTTACTAAGCTTTTAAGCTTCGTTACAAATATACCTTTTAAAAGAGAAAATGTAGCAATTGAGGCAACAATCTGAGGTATGCGATTCAGATAAATCTTCAGCCTTCAATCTTTTTCTAGCATCACCAAAACACTGGCTTCAAAGAAATATTAACCCCAATTTGACAATGGACGGCTGCCAAAATAGACAAACGGTTAACCAGTAAACAGAAGCAACTACTCAAAGCTTAACCACTTAACAGAAGTAAACATGCTTAGCAATAAGAAAAACCAAACAGCAATGGTATTAGGCCAGTGCTCACTTTGGCATCTGAAGTCTTAATTGAAATGTGTCACCACATCTCACCAAACCATAACAACATTGTATCAGCCCTCACTCCAGCAGCTGAAGTCCAAACATGAAGGTTTCACAACTTAAAACAAACAAAAAAGGTGTTAGACCAGTGCTCACTTCGGCTACTGAAACCTTAACCTGGAAGTGTCACAACTTCAAAACAAACTTAAACAATATTAAGTCCATGCTCCATCTGACAACTGAAACTCTAATTGAAATGGATTATGGTGGCACAACTTCAGTGAAAACAAAATATGCAATGGTTTTTATTTTTTTTTTACCAAGGGTGGAAAATACTTCAGGCGTGTGTAAACTAACCAAAAATGCTCATGAAAAGTGGCAAATGCCGAACAACCCAAGAACACATGCAACACTGATTAAATCACCGAAGCACAAGACAACAAGCCACCAAAAAACCAAAAAAAGAACAGCAGCAAAATGAAGAACCAGAAGCATGTTCATAGAAACTGGCAGGGTATTTTTTTTACCCATCAATAAAATCTTAACATCTTGTGATTTACTCTCAAGATTATCAGCAAGTTAACAAGAGCATTACTCTCACTCAGTCCAAGCAAAGGCAACATAAATAGTAGGCAGAAAAGACACAGTGTTGAGGCCAAACACCAAAACAGGGAGCTTGTTCTTAAAAGTGGGACCCACAAGCTGGATGGTCCCTAACAAAGCAGAATGGGACTACTGCAACGCGGACGTATAAAAGTTCCGAGTCAGACACCTGAAAAATCACGCCGAAGGCCGGCAGTAGATATACATAATACATAGACTCAATCCTAAATTAAGAACAAATCATGATAATAATAACTAATAAAAAAATCTGACACTGATATATACTCTAAATTAATATAAAAGAAATTATAAAATATTTTATAATATTATAACAAGATGAATGGAGAATCTAATACTATTGAGAGTTGCATTAAAACTCAGCACATTTAGGCATTAATATTAAACGTGTACCTTTAATGTATGCAGTTATATTTTATGTTTCTTATTTTTAAAACTGATTTGAGTGGTTTGTACTTTATGTTTCTTATCTATAAAGTCGATTTGAGTGGTTGCCAAGTGTTTCAATGTTGTTAGCCAATCCCACTCAGTACATGTTTGGTATCAGGTGGGTTGAAATTAGATTTGACTTCTTTTATTGGTCTTTCTGTAAATTGTCAACTTCTCTATCCTTGCTTTATCAATTTTTAGAAGTGCTGTATATTTTCCTTATTTCTCCTTCATATTCTAATGATGCTAACATTCTGTTTCAATTGTTCCCATCTTTATCAGCTCCAAATGCTTTGTTAGAAACATTGAGAGAGCGGATATTCAAGCCTTCCTTGTCAACCCTAATCAGCGAAAATACAAAGTAATTTCCGCATTGTATTTTATTGTGTATGTATGTATTGCCACACGATGCTTATACGGTCAAGTATCATTGTTTTACAAAGTTTTGTAGCTTTATGTTTCTAGGGTTGCGATTGCATCAGCAGCAGATCCCGTGTATGTAGCTACAAAAAAGATGCAAGAGTTGCGTGTTAATTCAGCTGTTATCGTATCCATGTCAGGATCCAAGATTCAGGGGATACTCACGTAAGATCATTTTCAGAGGCTTCACTCTATTCTACTTGAGTTCTCATTATATGGAATGACATAATTTTCTTAGATAATACTTCCCTTTAATGATATTGGGACTGAGATTTGAAACCTCTTTATTGTTCTCAGGTAGGTGCCTAGTATTTCATAACAGAACATAGGGATATTCCCATTTACTGAGATAAAATCCATAGATTACGCACTCTCACACTACCAGAAATAGATAATAGAGAATAACACGCTGCTGAGTTTCAAGGGCCTGAGGTTTCCCTCCTTTACTCAAAATCCCCAAACAGGAAAACCTTTCCGAATTCACACCCACTTCATCCTAGGAGGCTCCTAGCCCTTGCCTCTTTCTTGAATTGCCTACTTACCTTATAATAAAACCCCTTCTTGATTTCCATCCCATCTTGCCGAGTGGTTGGTGGTTACTTTGCCATTCAGTGCTGATAATCCAATATTTTTCCCTTTCCGCGTGATCCAGCTCAATGCAGGCACTCTACCCCATCCTTCCTAATTTGCTCCTTTGTCGTTGTATGATGCCCTACACTCTATACATCTTGTATGCAGGTCAAAGGACATACTTATGCGTGTTGTGGCTCAAAATCTCTCTCCCGAGTTGACTCTTGTGGAAAAGGTTAACATTTTATTTTGATTTAAATATGTCATTGTTCTCTGCAAATATACCATATTTTGTCAGTGTAATTTTTTTTGTTTGGTTTTGGTCCTTGAAAATATTTTTTATTTTACTTTTGGTCATTGCTATTTTGTTTCAGTCCTTGCAAAATTGATTTATATTGGATTTAGGACTAAAATCAAATATTCTACATATTACCGGGATCAATTCCAATATAAATCAATTTTGCTAAAATTAAAACACAAGAACGAAGACCCAAAGCAAAATAAAAAATATTTGCAAGGATCAAAGCCAAACAAAAAAAACTACCAGGACTAAAATAAAAGTGGTATATTTGCAGGGATCAATTAAATATATAAGCCTTTTATTTTTCTGAAAATCAACGCAAATATAAAGAGTGTTCTTTTATTGTGAGACACTTTCTTCTGTTGCCTTGGTTTTGCTCGATATTGAGAACTGGTTTGATTTTCTTATTGGTTCTTCCCTTTCTCACTTAGGTAATGACTCCAAACCCAGATTGTGCAACAGTAGATACAACAATACTTGATGCCCTGCATATGATGCACGATGGGAAATTTTTACATCTTCCTGTGCTAGACAGAAGTGAGCTTACTTTCCTAAGTTTGCTGGCAGATTCTAAACTCTTACTTTTCACTGACTATTATTGTTTCTGCAGATGGATATGTTGCTGCTTGCATTGATGTTTTACAAATAACTCACGCTGCAATTTCCCTGGTAAATTTCATTTTTGAGATACATGCAAATCACAGGTAGCATTTTGTGGACATGTAAGAATGCGAGATATCCGGTGGATTTAGAAGTGTTTAATAGATCAGTTCAGCTGTCCATATAACATTCCTATTTCTTGCATCTTCATTATTTGCAATCCTTGCAGTGTTCACTGTTATTGAAATTGAAGTCTATATTTATATTGTGTAGAAAGAGTCATGTACCATTTTTTATTAACAGTTAATACATATGCCAATTTCTGATTACTAAAATATACCCTAGGTTGAGAGTAGCTCTGGAGCTGTTAATGATATGGCAAATACAATTATGCAAAAATTTTGGGATTCAGCTTTAGCTCTAGAGCCACCAGAAGATTTTGATACTCATAGGTATACTGGTTGTACAAATATTTAAACATGAGATGAGATCTTTTTTCTACTTTTTTCTGATATTTGGATCTACGCCGTTTTATTCCAGTGATGCTTCTGGGCTCGTGACATCGGATGGGGCAGATACATCAAAGTGTTCTACGGGTTTTGTAAATTCATTTCCCTTCAAATTTGAGGATCTCAATGGTCGCATGCATCGATTCAACTGTGGTAACTATCTTGGGGAAAACATTGGGAAGACTTGGTCTATATTTTGTTTGTTTTTGTCTTGTATGTTTGCCACAAACATCTTGTGCATTGAGTCTGAACATGGGTTATGTCATTTTATCGTCTTCTCTACCCATTTTGATTCTTATAAGAACTCAGTTATTTATGCTGCTGTTTTTTGTAGGTACTGAACATCTAGATGAGCTAGTAACGGCAGTCATGCAGAGAGTTGTTATCAGGGACACAGAACTCCCTGTGATTGTGGTGTGTTTTATACTAGTGCAAATTCTTCTGCCTTAAGAGTTACATGTCTTTATTTCTTTACATCAATTTTTCCTCATTTCATAGTACGAGGACGATGAAGGTGATAGAATTTTTCTTGGAACCGATGACGATCTTGTTTCTGCTGTCAGCTATGCTAGATCTGCAGGAGTGAAGGTGAAGTTATCTTCTTCTACTGTCTTGCGTCCTTTGGTGATATTGGTCTCTGGGATAATTCACTAGGATTTGATTAATACATTCTCATGTAAAAAATATTTTTGTATTTCAGGCTTTAAAGTTGCATTTGGATTTCGGAAATTCAGTCAAACCAACACCACCACCTAATACAGCCACTAGACAAAAATCTAGTGTTTTGTCTCTCAAGTCCAGTATTTTTGCAGGGGCTATTGTTATAACAAGCATTGGCGTATTAGTCTACCTAAAACGATCTAAGTAACGTGTTTCGCGGTTTAAGCGGAAAAAAGCAATAATTGCTCTGTGAATCCCAGAGCTCTTTTGCATTTTAACTGCTCATTGCAAAGGAAATGCTGAATACTGAAATATGAGAGCTTCTCTAGTATTGAGTCTTTCTTATTTGGGGTTAGCATATATCCCCATGAGACGAGCCTAAGTGATTAGTCAAAATGGTAACTTATATTTTTTTGGGTCTCTGATGTAACTGTAACTTATTATTTTTGGTCTCCAATGTAATTGCCGTCCGTAATGCTTTCTACTTAATCCTTCTAAGTGAGAATATATGTGTAGATAATGTCTTTGTTATACAACAATGAGAAATGCTGGGGTTCTGCATTTTTCATTGATTTCAAGCTTACTTGCAAATTGCAATGATGTCACGTAATGTCAAAATAATCACTGGTAGAATATAAATGATTTAAATTTCTCTAAATCTTATATTATTCATTTTGGTCTCTTATTCCAATGTGGTCTATTTCTCCATTATTAGTGTTGAGTTACCACTATTTTTGACATAGTAATTTTCCTCAAGTGTCTTGCAACAGGACAATTTCATGTGTTGCAATTTTACAACATATTGTCACAGGTCTTTAATAAGTTTATTCTATAAAATTTTATTATATTTTTCTTAAAATTACATATCAAATTAAATAATTTTAAGTGTACTTTAGTACTTAAAATACAACAAAAGTTGAATATATATTAATAATGGACTAATTTGCCATCTGTACAAGATCATATCTTAAATCTCATGATCAGAATTGAAGAATTAAATTGTGTAAGCCACCAATTTCAAACAAAAAGTATTCACTTCTTTTTAATTCTAACTGTAGAGTATCAAGTTGGGTATCAATAGGAAAATGAAATATACCAATAGGAAAAAGGAGAATGAAATATAGTTAGAGTTGTAATATGTAGATTTAAAAGTGAATTAATGTAATTAGTAAGAACTTATAAATCATAAAAAAGTAAGAGTATATACTTATTGATTCATGTTATGTAGGTGCAAATTTAAAAATATATACTTTGTATTTAATAATAATATTGATTGTAATTTTCATACAATAATATTTTAACAATAATTTAGATATCAATATGTTTTCATAATATTATTATTTGTAATTTCTATAAAATAATCATTAACAATAACTTCGATATCAATATATTCTCTTGTAAAATATTTATTTTTATATTCCATATTTTAAATATTATATAATTTTTTTTTATATATAATAATATTTTTTTAAAAACAAAATACACAAATAAAGATACTCATTTTACATATAACTATTTACATCTTAAAAATAACAGTTGAGTGAATATCAATACAATTGAATATGAGTAAATTGAATGAATCTTTCTCTAATCTATTGAAGTTTATTGTAATTGCTATAACTCTAGCCTCAATCAAATGTTAATAATGCTACTAACTGAAAGGGATGTAGATTGTGGAGTCATGAGTTGGGCATGCACATCCAAGAATATAACATAACTACAAGCTATGTTATTGGTGTAACTGTTGGACAGGAGAAAGAACGTGCAGACTACTGACTCCTTTCTGATCAGGTAAGATCAGTGGCGCCGTCTATGGTAACCTTTGCTTCCCCGTTCTTTCTCCTGTCCAAGCATAGAAGCTTAAGAACCAAAGTAACCTTCAACTTCTATTCTAATTATGGCCAACCCATGCGACGACAATGCTCCTGAAATCGCCTTCATCCCTTTCACTAACAGAGACAGTCACAACCCCAACGCGGCCGCCCGCAACGAAGAAGACGACTACAAGAACGAGCACACCGCCTCTCCCTCCTTGGAAGATGCAACTTTCAACACCGTCCAACGCCTCGATAGCTCCGCTGTCTACCAACCCATCCCGATACCACCAAGCGTCGACCTCACCATGGTGGCCCTGTTCGCAGCGATCAACCAGACTAACATAATGATCTTCGGGCGGAACGAGCGAATAAGGATGCTCGAGAAGGAACGACCATCATGCTCTCCCCCGCGGAGACATCTTCGCCAGTTTCCAACAGCCCCCTCCCCCGCGGGGACACAGCTAGTTGACGACTCTCAGAGCCCCTCTCCTCGACCGACTGAGCGTCGCCCTTATTTGGAGCGACCACAACCATTGGCTTCCTAGAAGCGGGACAGGTCTCCTTCCCGGAAGGAACGTCACTCCCTAGTTCTGAAGAAGAACAGAGCCCAAGGGAGGGCCTCTAAAGCAAGAGCCCGACCGAAGAGTCCTCCCCGATGGAACAGAAACAACCAGAGATCGCCCTCTCCCTCGCTGTCACCTGTTAGGAGTGACAAAGACGTCTATCACTTGCCACTATGTAGGGCCATCTGGGAGGCTCCACTACCCGCCGGGATGGAGAAACCCCCATCTTTGACAATGTTAGACGATGGCACGGATCTAGAAGGGGGGTTGAATAGATCCCTTGATTAAAAAGAGTTGGTGCTACCAATAAAATTGGTTTTAAAAATTTGTTTAATTTGCGGAAGCAGCCCTGGAAAAAAAACCATATATAACGAACGGTTACTAGAAAACCGGATATGCGTTTTAGCCGATGGAATCGGATAACGAGTAATGAGAATCACTACGCTAGTCACACTATCAATTTGATATAGCTCACTATGTGGTATGACTAGTTCCAATGCCTTAAAATATTACCACAATAAATGGACAGCACCCAAGGCTTTTGGTTCATACAGTTTATCAAACACTTGGCGTGCGAAGCACTACAAGTGAGTTCCGCTTTGAGTAATTTGCTCTAGTTTCCTTGTACAATCAACGATTGTACTAGAGTCAAAATCAGTTTAGCACTTACTCAAAACAGTCCTAGATTTGATATAATTGTTTGCACTAAAACCACACAAATATTAAGCAATGTAAAAACGAAAGGTAAAAGGCACAAGGATTTGTTGAGGCAGTTCCTCCGCCGTCCTCGCTTTGGGGTACGTCCGCCCTTAATTCTAACAATATAATTGAGACCTTATAATATAAATTTAACCTATTGTAGAATCGTATATACAAGAATTGAAAGCAATCAAGCAAACAAACACCCTTGTTGTTGTAGATGCTATCTCCTCTTGCCCATTGATTCGATTCGAATCAAGTCCTTCGACAGCTCGTGAGTGAACCTCTGATTACAGCTCTATGTTTAAACAACCTTCCATCTTCAAACCCCAACCCGACTAATCTCAAACACTCGCGTGTCGAACCCAAAACTCTCCTTCATAATCCTCCGCTTTCCGTTACTAGATCGACAGAACCCACCGCTCCTCGATCACCTTCACTTGGCTGAATATGTGTTGAGAAGAATCGTGCAAAAACCCTCAAATTCAGAGAATCTTGGAGGATAAAACCCTAGAGGTTTTATTCAAGAAAAACCTGTCAATTCCTCAACCCGAACCGGATTACCCAATCAGCGGCTTCGAATGTTATCACCTTTAACAATCCATAATGCACAACAAAGATTATTGTGTGTGATTGTTATGGTATGAAATGTAAAAGATGAAGATGATGAGAACTTGAATTGACACCTCTTTCATTTTTCTTGTTTTTCTGAATGGCCAGACAGGTCAAAGTCCGCTTCCTGGTAATTGAATGTCCCTCCTTGTACCGGTGCATCCTAGGAAGCCCGACCTTGACTGAGCCGACTGCGGTACCATCCACAGTTCATCTGAAAATGAAGTACTACACGATCAGAGGTCGAGTCGTCACCCTCCACGGGGACATTGAGGCTACTAAAAGATGCTTTGAGGCGACGCTCAAAGGGCTTAGCTCGATCAGCGTCCCCCCTAAGTCGACCAGCAAGCCAGCCCGGACCGAAGAGTAGAAGCCACTCCCTCACGTCAACACCATCAACCTCGACAGACGTTTTCCTTGCAAGCAGGAGCAGAACACGGGATCTGAAGACGCACCCCTAACGGACAATGAGCAGCCATCCCATCCAACATGCCCCATTCCAGATGGAGACTTTGAGCTCATCACGCTCGAAGATGACCCAGGAATAAGCGTGAAGATTGACACGGGACTCCACGACCTGGCGAGGAAGCAACTAAAGGCCTTCCTCCAGGAGAACGCTGACCTGTTCGCTTTGAGTGTTGCGGAGATGTCCGACCTTGATCCTGATGTAGCTTTCCACCACCTCACCATAGATTCGACCGCTTGGGACATAGTTCGACATATGTGTAGGCAGTCTCCCGAGAAAGCTGAGGCTGTTGAAAAAGTTGTAAAAGACCTGCTAGAGGAAAAATTTATATCGGAAGCCCAGTACACAACCTGGATGTCCAACGTTGTACTAATTAAGAAACATAATTGAAAATGGAGAATGTGTATTGACTATACTGATCTCAATCGGGCATGTCCTAAAGATGCTTACCTGTTACCTAACATCGACAAACTCGTCGACAATTCTGCAGGTTTTAAACTGTTATCATTCATGGACGCGTACTCGGGGTACAATCAAATCCCTATGGCGAAGGCCGAAAAACAACACACGACCTTCATGACCGAGTTGGGCAACTATTACTACAATATAATGCCATTTGGATTGAAGAATGTCGGCGCGACCTATCAGCGGATGATGAACAAGGTTTTCCAGGGAGAAATCGGGGAAATGCTCAAAGTATACATTGACGACATGTTCACCAAATCACAAGAAGAGGTCTACCACACCATCCACCTCAAGAAGGTCTTCGCGACAACGAGGAGGTGCGGGATGAGGTTCAACCCCGAGAAGTGCACCTTCGGCATACGGGCAAGCAAGTTCCTTAAATTCTACCTGAAAAAAGGAGGAATAGATGCGAATCCAGACAAGTGCAGAGCCTTCTCCGAGTTTTCCACTCTGAGCACAAAGAATCCCATTCGATTACTAAACGGGATGCTCACATCTTTGTCATGATTCGTTGCCAAATATGCTCAACACGCCCTCCCCTTCTTTAAGCTTCTACACAAGGAGGCCACATTTAAATGGACCGAAG